ATGGTTATCTGCATGGATGTTACAATTGTGTGTAACTTTCAGGAGTAAGGCTACTGCAGCATTTTTTTTTTTTCTCAATAGAAGAATTTTGTCATTTCATTCTGGCATTCATTTGTTAGCATTGAATTCGGGACAATTCTCCTTAAAAGTCCTTCCAGAAGGGCCTGCCCTCCTTCTTCATCGACACGGAGCCAAATCAGACTTCTACCCTACAGGGTGCTCCATCACAATAGAAGCTGCCTCCCTCCTCCTCCTTCCACGACGACCACACGAGTTCTTGAACTTGGTCTAGATATTACTGTCTACCAAGTGATAAGAAAAAACAATAACTTTAGATTTTCTAAGCAATTTTTGTTATATTCAAACTGTTAAATATTCATTTAAATATAATATTTTACATTTTATGTTCTGGATCTGGTTGATCTGGTTGATAACAATGTTTTATGAACTGAGATAGCCGAAGCTAAAATTTTTTTATTACAAAATGATGATAAATTCTTAAGCTGGAAAGACATTTCATTAGTTTCTGGGAGGATGTGAAGAGAGAGTGAACCTTTTATTGAGACCCATTCTAAGTTTGTGTATGTTTTAAATTAAAATGGCCATATATACATGTTAAAGATTCGTGGGTACTCTGGATAAAGTTGAATCTGCCACGTATCTGCGATCGATGTCTAGGTGGCACATGACATGACTCACATAGTACTAGATAACTCACATCATATGTTTTTTTTTTTTGGCTAAAAGTTTTTGATGATAAATCAATAAGCTGGAAATTCCTTTCATTAGTTTCTAGGATAATGTGAAGAGAGCGTTAACCTTACAGAAACCCCTTCTGAGTAATGTACGTTTTAAATTAAAATGGCTAAATATGAGTGGCGGATGGTGCACTCTTATCTGCTACGTATCTGCTGTCGATATCTACATAGCAATGGGCACTGCTCCCATAGTGACGAATGGCAGCATCATTCAAAAGATGGCAACTGAATATGCCCGACTCGTGGCTAAGTGGCAATTTGTGTTGCTGGTGCGCATTAGGGCTGAAGCTCAACTCCTCTGGCGGCTTGTTGTTGACTATTTCAAAAACGAGAAGTGATGTGATATGATGTTCATTATCTTACCTCGTTAGTCGGATTACCTGGGGGAAGTTTACCGAATTTTCTACCATACGATATGCAAATGTGTGGTAGTTCCCTCTAAAAGTCCTAGCGGAAGGCACTGCCCTCCCCCTCTTTCTCCAAGTCAAACTCTACCTACGGGTGCTCCATCACAATGGAAGCTGCTCCCCCTTTCCTACCATTCGTAAGACCATACGTATTCATGGACTTGATCCAAAATGTTGCTGTCGACCAAGTGGGATAAGAAACAACAGCACAATTGAATACTGTTTGAAAATGCTAGTCTACTTTAAAATTTGATAAAACTTTGCGGTAGTAAACGTAAAAAAAAAATAAAAATTATAACATTATCACACCGTATTAAAAGCTTTATTGTTACTCTTATAAAGTTCCCATTAGTACAGTTCAATAAGTCCTGGATTCTATTAAAAGAAACTTATTTTCTTTTTCGCTTTTACTTCTGATCAACGAAAATAATTTTTTTGTTCAAAGGACAGTTCTTTTTCTTACTTTCTTTTTTTTTCTTTTCTTTTTTTTTTTTTTTTCTTTTTTTTTTTTTTTGACTGAAAATTCTTTCCTCGTCTCACCTGCTTAATTTTGATGATCTTCAGAAATAGCTTTTCGCTTTGATTTCTTATTTCTTATAAAAGATTTATTGACAAGCACTCTATTCAGTACCTCCCCCTTCCTAACAATAAGACCCTATTTATTGAAAAGGTTTTCTTGATTTTTTTATAAATTTTTTTCTTGTGTCGATTTTAATCCAGAACATATATTTTTTTACTCGTCATCTAAATAAAAATTTTATTTTCTAAATATACCACAATTTATACGCGTAGTCAATATATATGTGTCCATGAATAAAGGTTATTGTTTAGCAGAACTACGTTGTTTGCGGTTATTTATTTAGCTTTGAAAATAACAAATAAAAAAATATATAAATAAAATGAAATAAATGAAGGATAAAAAAAAATAAAAAATAAAAATGAAATACAAATGAAATAATAAAATAAAAGAAAAGATTATTATCAAGCATTATATTCAAACCATACAAATTTGTACAAACATACAAATTACATACATACAAATACACATACAAAAAAAAATAACGAATATAGAGGATGTTACTGATAAAAATCAATTATTTTCACAGTAAATATTAATTCTATAAAATGAGACAATTTAATATACAATATGTGTATAGTGTTTATAAGGCGTTATTTAATAATTTAATTTATAGCGATATGTAATATGTTAAATCTTTTCTCTCTATACATACATACATTAAGAAGATATGCATACATATACTATACATACATACATTAAGAAGAATAATTATACATTATATTACATATATTTACTAAACAATACTCGCATTTCTTATAACAAACTATAATGCTAAGGATGTACAACTTTTTATATATTTTTTCATTATAAAATAGCATGAAATTACAAAATAATTTTAGATTGATTTGTCGCTCTACAGTCATTTTGTGCACACATTAGGCTAGTTAGCAGGGACCTACAGTTTAACGTTATTCTGAATCACTGACAAACATCCACGCCACCGCCAGGATTGAAACCTGAAGCCTTCTGGTACCAAATGCCAGGGCGCTAGCCAATTGGCCATCAGGCCGTGACATTTCTAGAAGTTATTTTTGTTGTTGTTGTCGTATCCCCTGCAGAGTACAAGAGAATCGAATATCGTGATGCTCCCGAATAATATTGGCTAGGTCGATTGTCGACTCGAAGTATGAATCCTCTTTCGAGGGAGGGTCCAGACAATGCACGGCGGCTGCAACAGCTGGGCAATCAAAGATATGATGAGGAGTAAGCTCGACATCAGGGCAGTTGTCCCATTTTTGGCATTTTTGAACGTCATCAGCAGAAATTTTCAAAATTTTTGTGAGGCTTACTTTTTAATCTTGTGAGAATAGTAGCTGTTTTCCCTAGGGGGAACCTGTAACCCCCTACAGAGCAAGTCCCCGGGTGGCGGATTGGGGAATGCCACCATCGATGTTGGGTAGGGGGAAATAAAATACCTGTCGCTGACCAGCAGGTAGAAGTCCAACCTTTCGAGGCAATGACAACCCTTTTTCTCATTGCTGCCTGATGGCTGGCGCTCTGACCTTGATACCATAGGCTTCAGGTTCTAATCCTGGCGGTGCCATGGATGTTTTTTAGCTTGGAAACCACGTTTAACTGTAGGTCCTTGTTTAAGGCCGTCTGTCTAGTCCAAATTGAGAACAAATAACCGTAGAGTGTCAAACCAAACTATACCTCATGATGAATCAAGCAGTTTATTTTTTAATGATATAAATATTATATATGTTTTTTGTTAACGATTGACGTAGGTCCTTGTTTAATTAGTCCAAAGTGTGAACAAAATAATGATTGAACCAAACTATACCTTATGATGAATGGTTATTTTTTAATGATATAAATATTATATATTGTTAAAATATAATATTTATTAGGGAAAATATATAATTATATATGATATATTATAAATATATTTTAATTGTTTCAAATGTTCTATTATATGGAATTATCATTTTATATTTTACATTCAAAAATTGGCCTTAGCATTTCTATTTTTTCAAAAAACTAGCGATTTATAAATTGCTTAACTGTAATTTTTAATTGTCATCAGATATTTGCAGTAATGGCTAGGATTTATTTTCATTGTTTGTTTGAAATTTTTTTACGATATTTATTATTATTTATTTTTCTTATTGAATTTTCCCAAATCTAAGAATATTTTATTTTCTGCTGCAAAACAATACCAGGCGTATTACATATATGCTATTATATATCATATCATCACATAGTTATGTCACATTAATATGAAAACAATATGGAATTAAATTTCCGGATTATAATATTGAAAGAAATGATTATATCTTCTGAATAAATGAAAAGAAAAAACCCAGATAAAAAGAACCATTGTCTACGAGATTATTCTGTACGTTTTTTTAAAAAAAAAATATCATACGGTCGTAATGTATGAGAATTCATAAGATGATAATAAAGGATAATATATATTTCCTAAAAAAAAAAAATTAAGGTTAATTAAAAGTTAATTAGCTTTTTCTCGTTAGTGGAAGATTTCTATTATTCAAGTAAAATTAGTCAAAGATTGTTTTCCTTTAATACTTCTATTAGCATTATCAAAAAAAAAAATTAATTTTTAATTGCTGATCTCATTATTTTAAGGAAAGTACATAGCTTAAATATAAGTAAAAAACAACAATTTTTTTTCAATTAAAAAAAGGCAATAAAAAACGTTCATTTATGTTGTGCGGAAACAAAGGTATGAAAAAGTTATCTTCAAAGTTGGAAAATTATGTAAGTTAATGCAAAACAAAATATTTTTAAATGCAATTTTATTAAATCCTATATATATATATATAAAATATATATTTATATATATACGAATTATAATTTTATTATAATAGTATATATATATATATATATATATATACATAGGGTGATTATAATTAAAATCACACTTTCAAAATGCACCAAGAAAAGAACCATTCGTCACAAGGAGTTCAAATTTGAACTGAAGTTACTTTTTTTTCTTCTAATGCAGCTGGCAAATAGACCGTGAGATCTTTCGCCATAAGATCTGCATCGATGTTACTCACTTTGCATTACCCAGGGGGCGCGTGTAACTTGATGGTAAGCCACGGACGCGGATAGTAACAATGCCCCCGCAGCGCTCTACGATCCAATTAGGGACCGGGACCTATGGCTTAAAGGGGATTCCGAACCACTACAACACCCATGGGCAAAGCCGAGATTTGAACCCGATACCTGTGGTACCGAACGCCAGAGCGCTAGCCATTCGGCCATCAGGCCCCCAAAATTTTTGAATGCCAACGGCACGTGGTGTTCCCAGGTGGTCACCCTCCCAAGTACTTGACTTCTTTGATCGAACGAGAACCGGTATATTCAGCATGGTATGGCCGTTGGCACTGAAGTTACTTAAAGAAAGGGGAAACGGTATGGCATAAAAAAAGCTCCACCGATTTATCCCATCCAATTTGGTATGACCTTGCCGTGGTGGATGGGCTTTCCATTAACTTTGTCACAACTGTTGAATGACTTGGACAATTAAGCCCATTATACATCACAGTTGGTTTAATGTGCAACTTATGCCACATACGTTGTAATTTCAATTCAAAATATCACTAGCAGCCAAATTCACTTTTTTATGCGGCTAACAGCACCATCTATTAACATCTATTATGTATATATATATGTGTGTGTAAATATAATTTTTTAGTAACATTTCTATACTATAGAAATATATATAAATGGTCCTTCACTGTACATTGTATTCCAAATTGTCTTAGAGTAATAACTCAATTTATAGCCCAAAATGAAAAGAAAAAAAAAAATTCTTATTTTAAATATAGTGATGCCAATCATAGTTAACTTTCAATGTAATAAATCTACATCAAAACTCCTAATTCTTCCAATTCGAAATGGTCACATCGAATGAATTCCAAAAATTCCAAAAACAACTTTCCATAAATCTTTCCGGTCTGAAGATGGTCTAACCTTTACACTTGGCTAACCATTCCGATGACAGCGGCAGATCTTGAAAAGGATTTGGAATTTTATTACCCTTCCCTGAACAAAGAGAACAGTTTCTTATTCTTATGGAACAACCACACCCGAATATTACAATCTTTTCATTTTGAAGAATTTCTGAAACCCATTTCAAAAACCAAAAGAGAGTTTTCCTGCAGTTAATCTTATTCATCATTTACAAGACATTTTAACGCCAAGAGGAATGCTTCAGCTTATGGCTAATGCTTAAATCTGAAAAATTTGGCGATAACAAAAATTGCGCCAAGAATGTGGGCTGAACTACATTTTTATCCAAAAAAACTGTATATAAGGCACCTATTTGGCTCAGAATCTTCAGTAATCTTGTTTTCAAAAAATTAAATCTGGTCTCCAGCCATGATGACTCGACTAGCAGTTGCTGTTTTTCTTTTTTCAATGGCAACCATAGCCGTATCTGGACCTTTAACCATTCTTCAACAAGCTGAACAAGCCATTGATGAACCCCCTAGACCTTACGAATTCGGATATGAATTTGGTGATGGCCAAGGCATGAACCAACATCGTCGAGAATCGTCTGATGGAGCTGGTAACGTCAAAGGCAGCTACAGCTACACAGATCCCTATGGCATCTACAGGAATGTCGAGTACCAGGCCGACGCTGGAGGTTACAGGGCAGTCATCAAGAGCAACGAGCCTGGATTGAGCAACCAGAATGCAGCCGATGCAACCTTCATAGTAGAACCTCCACCACCAGGCGCAGTTCTGCAACAAAGTTTGTCATCAGAAAATGTAGCAAATGCACTGTAGACTACATTCTTCAACTTTGACTTCTGACTGGAAATTGCCAAAATGTAAGCAATAAAGTTGTTTAATTTTTGTATATTTGTTTCTTTGTAAAATGTGTGCCATTAATTGAGGTAATTTTGGATAAGGCTTATACGAGTGCTTGGTTTAGCAAATAGAATATGTACAAACAAATACCTGAGTAACTTGACTTAACTTAATTTTAACTTACTTCAGTTTTTGTAATTTTAACTTAATAGCGTAAATTTTCTGTTTACTTCTACTCTCATGGTTTAATTTCAAATTTATAATTTAACTTTATTAATGATTATGTGGAAGTTTTCGGGGTATATTTTACCCTACAGGTACTCCGAAACAGGTACGTCTGTTTCCGTAACAAAATCTAAATAATCAATATTCAAGTCAAAACAGTTAATATTAATTCCTAGAAAATTGACTACAACTGGAATTTGTGATTTTCTTTGGAACTGAAGGAAAAATAAGAGATATTTCTTAACTTTTAAAATGATAATACTTTCTTATATTTATTTCTATTCTTCTGCATAAATTATATTACGAATAAAAATAATTGAATCCTTTTAAAACAGGAGCTTTTTAATTTTAATAAAGTTACAGTTATTGTACATGATGGTAAAAAAAAAAAAAAATGAATTTGCATATGCTTTTTCTAACTTAATCTTTGTTTAGAGAGCTCAAAAAGATTTCAAATAATATAGTTATGATTCATTACATTAATTTTTTATAGTTCATAATTTCATTATTGTCATTTTAAAAAAATTCTCCAATAGACATTTAGCATAAAAATTTATTTACCCATGTATTTTCAACATTAACTTTATCAACTGAAAAATGATTGAAAAAAAAAGTGCAAGAAATATTTTTTTAAATAATATTTTAGCTATATTATAATTGTAACATCATCTTTACAGAACTTTTAAAATGAAAATATTGAAACAAAATCTATGATAAAAAAAATAAATCCAAATAAATAAATAAAATAAACCGATAAAAAATAATTAAAATTATTACCTGCAAAAATAATCAGTTTTCTTCTTTTTTTCTCAATTTAATAATAACAATAATTAGTTAAAAAGGAATTTTCTTAAGAATCAATACCATGAATTAAATACGTTATTAAACGAAATGAAACAAAATGTAAATAATTTTAATACTTATCTTACTTTTTTCCTAATCATACAATATGATCTAAAATTTTCTAACAATTTATAAAATTTTAGATCAAAAGGACTTTTAAACAAAATTTAATTAATAAAGGACTTTCAAAAAAAAAAAATATATAAATCTACTTAATTTTCTTCAATTTCTGATAAGATTGAAGTAAACGAAAATGTTTAATTTCTTTTAGATGATATAGATAAAAAAAAAAAAAGAATATTTTATTTCCATTTCCGATTTTCATTTCTCCATCATTTAGATCAGGAATATTTTTTTTATTTATTTATTTTTTTTTTTTTTTTAATGTCAACTTTGTACTTGTAGAAAAATTATAAAGCACATTCCTTTTCTTCAGAATATCAAATCGAACATTTATGCTAAATATCGAGTAAAACATCGAAATGAAATTAAATTTATGAATTTATTCAAATTAGGTAAGATTAAATTGAAACTAATTGGAAAATATCACAAAAAATAAAAATGTATTAAAATTGAGTATTAAAAAAAAAAATATCTCGGAATTGAAAATGTTTTTTTTTTTTTTTTTTTTTAATTTTCATTAAAGATGCATTGTAGAAAAACTTATTTTTTATTCATATATTATTATTAGTTGTAAAAAATATATCATTAAAACACATATCCTACAAAAAAAAAAGGGGGGACAATATTTAGATTTCTGTACGAAGTCTTAGATTAAGAATACTTATAAATTTCATTAATAGATGGCGCTACTGGAAAACATAAGTAAGGGATGGATTTTTACATAAAAATATTTGATAATAAAAATAGAATAATAAAACATTAAAAATATTGCGATAATATTCATGAAAAGAATAAGTTGTTTAGATAAATAATACAATTTTTAACATTTTAATTTTGTAATATTCATTATAATCTTAGGATAATAAAACATTATATGAAATAACTTTTCATTATAATCTCAGATAATAAAACCTCATATTAAATAACTTTTTAATACATTTAATTTATATTTAGCCAATTTAAGAATTAAAATCAATTTTGAAATTTTAAACCTATTTTTATGTTAAAATTTAGTAGAGAAAGTTTCCAAAAGTAGTATACTTGTTCTTTTAAATTTATAAATTTTTTGAAACATGTCAATAATATAATTGCATCTAAATTAAAACTCAAATCTATTAGAGGAGAGATCACAAAGTTGTAATTTGAAAATTAAGTAATAAAAATATTATTTAATATCTTAAAAACAAATTTCTCAGTTATTTATAACATAAATAATACATGAATTTTTTTTTCTACATCTAAACAAAAACTACCATAAGATAAATAACATATTTAGTTAATTGTATTAAAATACACTAATCATCTGAAAATTAAACTTCGTCATAAAATTCGAATCAGGATTACAATTTTATTATTTAAAGAATGATTAATGTGCAATACTGCACGATATTTGAACGAATTGAAACCAAATACATACAGCATGTTGTAAAGCCATCTGCATAGCAGTATCTTCAGAATATGTTTTAAAAAATCGAGTTTATTGTATTAATATTCAGTCTTAGAACAATGAATCAGCCCTTAAAAACGAGAGAACCTTGATTTTGGTCAAACGATAGTATCATCGTTAATGCCACAATATTTAACTAAAATCAACTAAACTACTTTCGTAGAGGTGAAAAAACAGAATTTTTGCACCTTTTTTCTCCCCTTCTAATGTCCCCTAATTATCTGCATCAACCAAGAGAGTCGATCGTGCATCTCTAGAGTCATCTTTTCCACACATCAATGGGATTCCCGCGGACTTCATTTACGATTAGGGATTGCAATATCGGACCAAAAGTTCAATACCGGTATTAGGTATTTTTTAGATCTTAATACCGGGATACCGGTTTTAATACCGCTAGTAGAAATGTCATTGTAGCTGTCATTTTACTTATAATTTCATCCAAATAATCTGTTTTTTTTTTTTTTTTTTTTTTTTTCAAAATTATCTAAAATCCCCTGATAGCTTGGGCTTAGAAACTGTGCTTAAGTTTGTATTTTTCATCGCAATTGGATTATTTCCTTTTTAACAAATTTGTATCATGTTTCATATTTAAATGTGTATGAAGTCCGCCTGTATTTCCTCCATTCACTTTAATAATTCTTGAACATTTTTTTTTACATTGTGCTACCATATTCCTTTTATCGTATAAATAATGAAACCAAACCGAACTATTATCCACTGATTTTTTATGTTCTTTAAAATTATTCTTATTCATTATTATGGGGTATTATTTATGAGTATATATATATAATAAATCTGAAAAATATTTTGAACTTTAAAGTATGATATGCAAACACAATGCGAATAACAAACTCACCCATTTAAAAAAATATCGAAATATTACACACTTTCTTCACAACTACAACCTTAGTTTTCACAGATAAGA